GGGGGGGGGGGTCTTCGACCTGAAAAATCAGGGGTTAGGATTTGCACCCGGTCGAAAGAAACCTTGCTATCGCAAGAGTAACTCCAGCTAGCTTCGCTAGCTTTCGTGATATATTTCTAAATATTTAGGTTATATAATATTAATGTATATATATATACACACACCTCCTTGTAGCTCCAAATCGTGCACATTCTCTCGCTTTCACTGCCGGGGCGTGAGACATGAACAACGTGAGACGACCCGAATAACACGACTCCCAGGAGTTGCACTATGAGTTGATTAAACAAAGCAACGGACAATAGGGATAGATGATGGGGGCGGAATGATAAGTTGTAGCTTCGGGATGGATGGGGCGGAAGTTGACATCCATCTATCTACTTCGGGATGTGCTTCTTCTATCTATGTGCAGCTTATATGTTTCTTTGGCAAAGAAAAGCCCGTGAAAACATGATCCACACGGTCGACACACACACAACTGCCTGCGTCGCCCCCGGGAGAGTGGTTGTTCAGGTGGACACCAATTCGTTGAATACCCTGGTTGTTCAGGTGGCCCCCCGAACAAAAACACACCAGAAACATCAAGAAACGTCTGAACCCCGCAGAGCGTCAGGACAAACTTCTGGAGGCCACCGTATACTCTTTACATCTCTCTTTACTTATTTATTTCTTTGTGAATTATCAACAGCTCATGTTGCTGCTGTCGAAGCTGCTCGAAGGAACACTCGAAGTCCCAAAGAGACTTAGGTTTCATCTCCACCTGCGCCGTTGGAATTGGGACGGCGTGACCAACCAAAAGGGAGAAGAGACACGACGAAAACATCTAAAGACCCGCCCCCCTGACTGTCACCGCCGACCAAATCGCCTTGCACGGTCTTCAACAAGTCACCCCAGCTCACTCTTCTCCCAATCGTTACATCGCTAACACGACACTTCCGGATGATGTGGGATGGGGCGTGGAATCAATTATCATGTTTCCTTCGGGTCTTTCACTGAGAAAGAACGTGAGAAAGAAATCAACTTCCTGTTGTGTGCCTGTCGTTTCTTTCACTAGCTGTGACCCGACATAATATCATAATTTTCCTCTCGTGCCATTCACTCCCAAATCCGAACTGTGCAAATAGTGGCACTAATTTTCTAGATACAACATGTGTATATATATAAAAACCTTGTCTAAGAATATGAACTAGCCGACAACCAAGCACCCAACCAGAAAACCAACATCCTCCTAAATCGTCCTATCATGTTCTGGCCTTGAACCTAATCCTTCTGTTCAACAATGCTACTTGAATGCAAACACATGGTGAAAGGTAGAGAGGGGCCCGGAAGTTGGAACAACTTGGTCAAGCTTGCTACTGCTCGTTCATCCAAGTTGGCATATCGATGTTCTTACGAAGATATGAAGTTGGTGACTTCCTGACATGTCGGGATTTCGAGGCCCGGCACCTTGACTTTCTCCACCGGCATGCTCTCTGAGTACAGATTCGTGGGTGCCTCAGGCACTGTGAAGTCGGCCACCGCTTTGCTGAGCTCATGCCTGTAAATGGGCGAAAGCCGTCATCTACGCAGGTGCGTCCCGAGAGCCCCACTAGCATCATTGGCAAACCAACTCCTAGACCCCTGCGCAAGGCCCTGCACGTTTCGGCCGGATTCCAGGTCGCGGTGTCGCAAAGATCCACCCAAACCGGTCGAGATTCCAGGATCGTGGTGTTCCCCCGGTTCAGGTGATCTTTGAAGACCTTCTGACCACCTCAGCTCTTCATCAATGGCATCAGGAAAATAAACCTTCATTTTCTCAGGCGTGGCGATGCAGCATCACCATGAGCAAGTATTCACGGGCATGATTAAAATGTAAACAACTTCAAAACTGATGTCCCCCAGTTCAGTTTGAGCCTTGAATGGTTCTTCCAACAACCCTCTGAACAAACAGCACCAAGCGGACCAAGCGGCAAATTGCTCTGGTTGCCTGCACGCAGCGATGAACTTCGCTAAGGATGACGCGCCCGTCAAAGTTGGGATCCAAATCCTTGGTGAAAACATGACGAATGAGGGATGTGCAGCCTTTGGTTGACACAAGATATTCCCTAAATATATACTAGGTTGGTTTCCAAAATGTCTTTTCCCAAAATGGTGCACTCATCGCAATTTCCTGGGGGCCCGCTTCTAAATCTCCTTTAAACTCCAACCACACTCAAAGCACAGGGATGTTAAACATGAAGGCGTGTCAACTGCAAAAACTGTGAGAGGTGTCTAGCGCGGACCTTTTCAGGGGCCTGTTGAGCTGCTGGAGCTGTTGTTGTTGCTGCTACTGCTGCTGCTAGACTTCTGCAGTTGCTTCCAATTTCTAGTTCTCAGAAATCTTTAGAACGACATAGGAAGGACGTAAAAGCTGACTCAAAAGATTTGGGTGTTGGATGGGCAGATGGTCAGAAATGGACCGTCGTCTAGCGCGGTGCTAGCGCCAGCCTAGCGCAAAAATATCCGTTGATTTCTTTCTCCTGCCTGATTTTTGCTTTTACTGCTTGCTTGTCTGCTTCTTGTTGTGCATTCTTCTTCTTATTATTATTCTTGTTTGTTTCCTTTTTCTTGTCTTGTTTATTCTTTTCTGCTCTTTGCTTGTTTCTTTTTTTCCTGCTTGCTTATCCTGTTATGAAGAAACCTAGCGCCAATCTAGCGCTGCCTTGCTGTATCACCATAGTCTGCTGGGGGCCCGCTTCTAAACGAAGACTTAAAAACACATCTCCAACCTTAAAAGTTTACGTTTATCTATATTTTTTGAGTAGGACTTTTTGAGCACAGTCCATATAGTCAGTATAGTTGGGAAAAAAGGAATTGGATGGAATTGGCAGGGTCATTTGCAGTTTCATTGCAGGGATAGCTTGCACCTTATCTTGCTCCTTCTTACGGTGTCTTCATGCCGGTGTTTTCCATAATGAAAACACTGGATTCATAACCTTCCGGGTGTTATTTGATGCTATTTGGGGAGGTCAATCAAGAGAGGTCACCAAGACTATATCTCCGCACCTCAGGGGGACCAAATCAAGTAGGCGGGGTATGAATTGAGAGATCATGGCGGACCCCCCGTTTGGGAGATTGAAAAGTAGTTTGTGGGGCAAGGTGTTCAAGAGAATCGTATTACAGGATTTTCTGGGGGTGCTCTTGGGATTCTGGGGGATTTTGGGTGGTCTTTGGCCATTCTGGGGGATTTTGGGGGTTTGGCCATTGAGACCATGAGCCAATCATGAGCCAGCAGGAGCAAACGGTCATTTTGAAACTGGTCAGATTGAATGGGATTTAATGTATCGGATACAGTAGTCCCCCCCCCAAAAAAGCCTACCAACAAAATCTGCAAACTTTTGTTCAAGCTTTGAGGGGTCAAAGACCCCAAGCTGTATGCCACCTGTGTCAGCGCACATTCCAACCCTTTGTCTCACCTAAGGAAGAAACATGTTGGTGACTGAACGACCCCCTTCTGCTTCCAATTTGCCCTGCAACTCACTAGCAAACCATAGCCCTGGCTGGCTAGATTCCATAAGGATCCATAAGGTCTTTCTTGCCCACTGGTAGGTGCCTAATCGTTTCCTATGAGTTCCTTCCCGTTCGCCCAGCTCGATGGCTCCATCCAAGCGGCTTGCATCAAGTCGGCCATCTGTTGAGGTGAGCACCTCAGGTCCGACGGCTTTTCGAAAGGTGGACCAAACTAATGGCGGGGTTGTGTTCCTACTAGCTTCTTGTTCCTGGTAGCGATGCCAGGAGCCCCTAGTAGCATCCTTGCTCCTAGTAGCGATGTCCTTCCTAGTATATAGATTCTTGTTCCTAGTAGTAACAAGGCCCTGCTGGCCGGGTGTGTAGGGTTTCTTTGAACAATCTTGCGCAACGCAGCCGGGAAATGAAGCGGTATGACATGGTAGGATGAGGTGGCATTATTCACCGAGCCTCATGGCACAAACCGAATACCCCTGACTTGAAGGACCTGTGGCAAAACGAACTTGAGGCCAGAGGGGGTGAACGAAAGCTAGCCGGGCCTCCTCGTCCAAACAAGTCGGGGGCGGGCTGCACAGTCACTCTCATTGGGTAACTGGCGGTGGGTGCTCCGCTGCTGCTGCTGCTGCGGCGCTGGTTGGTATGCTGCTGCTGCTGCTGCCGCTGGGTGGTCTGCTGCTGCTGCTGCTGCTGCCGCTGCTGCGCTGGGCGCTGCTGCGCTGGGTGCTCTGCTGGCGCCGGGTCGTCTGCTGCTGCTGCTGGCGCTGGGTGGTCTGCTGCTGCTGCTGCTGCTGGCGCTGGGTGGTCTGCTGCTGCTGCTGCTGCTGCTCTGGGTCTGCTGCTTCTGCTGCTGCTGCTCCTTTGGGGTTTGCTGCAGCTGCTTGGTGGTAGACTGCAGATGCTTGGTGTGCTGCAGCCGCTTGGTGGTCCCGCTCACCGCGCGCAGGGGGGAGTCGAACCCCCGGGGGGGGTCCATAAGATTGATTTAATCAATTATTTGAGGTTTCTGAGGTGCGTCCACCCCGTCACTTAACTTGCTAAAGCAAGAGCAACTCCAGCTAGCTAAGGCTAGCTTTCGTGAAAAGTGCATGTCCGCACGGAAGAATGCGCATCCGGCCAACACGCAATCACCCACCTCGAATAGTCACTAGCTAAGGATGGTAGAATTAACATGAATCAACTGTCAGCTCAGGCACTCTCCCCGCTCCACAATCCCAAGTCTTTGCCTCGGTTGACATGAGCAAACTTTGCTGAGATCTGGCCGTGGTCCCAGAGCCATGCAGCTTAACCGAGCCAAGGTGCAGCCCTTCTAAGAACTCCGCCGGTTCCAGAATGCCTCCGGGAGGTTTCGATAAGTGGTCATGATACAACTGCCGAACAAGAACTAAATATACAAAACAGCGTCACCATGAACAACAGGATGGAACATGATGGGCAAAACGCACAATGAACAATACCAGATTGCCACACTCTCCGCCCTCCTTCTTTTCTGTGCCACACAAATGGCCTCCCTCGCCCTGGCGCCTGGCACCCCATGGTTCACGTACTTGAAGAGATGCTTCAGGGTCGCGCGTCGTTTCCGCATGACCTCAGTGCCCCAAAGAACCGGTGAAGAAGCGATGGCTTTGTTTTGCTGCACTGGTGAACGGAGCACCACGAAACATCTTTCGCCAACCCGAAAGGAAGTGAAGCAAGCTCCTCAGTGAGTAGATCAACTCCGAACATATGAACTCCGTTAAACACATGACATATGAACTGAACTGCTAATCCCAAAATTCATAGTCAGGCCGAGGGGCGCTGTGCAAGCTGAGGAAGATATGTTTGGCCAATGTGGTGAGACCACCGAAGCTGGCCTTGCAGAACCAACCAACGAATGAACGAGCAACACATGGTCGGAGGGGTCAGAATGCGGGCAACATGGAGGCCATGTTCATCCATTTTCTCGACAAAGCGGCTCCGCTCAGCTTCCATGCTTGCCTGAGACAGATCTTCTTTCACACGTTCATTTGCTGAAGGTGCTAAAAGGCGTTCGGTGATGAAAGTTTGGCCACCCCCAGCAGGCCCATAGCAAATGCCATGACTTGGGCATGACATTGCTGTGACATACTTACATTTCAATGACTTCCAGGGCAGTGTCCCGCAATACAGCCCATCCCCTTGAAAACCATCAGCTCTGCCTCACTGCAGTTTCCTCCTCACCTTCTACTGCCGGCTCCCTTGGTTGAAAGGCCCCTGGGTCAATTTCACCGTCACTTGGAAAAGGCCTTCTGCAGCCACCTCCCAAGGATGGTCCACCAAGTCGCTTTCGTTCGAAATTGGACGGCATATGATGGCGTGGACGTTGAACAGCGCCTATTTGTCGGGGGGGACGTTCCTGCCTGGTCTTTGTTCAAATCGGCACTGCCACCGTGGGAACTGCACGCTGTTGACCCTGTTAATCAGCAAACGTGGCCTGCTGGGTGTCTGGAGCAATAAAGCGCATCTAACTTTTGCACCAAAGCACCTGTGTGGTGTCCTGGGGTGCCTTCCTTTGTATTCCAAAGCTTCCTCGTCTGCTACCAAGTTCTGCGATTCTCTCTTGTACTCGCTTCCCCAAAACCACGCAACCGCGAATTCATCCAAAATGCCATGAATGTGAAGAGGTATCTGAGGAGTTGCGCCAATTCTGAGCAACTTAAATGCAGCCCTGCCACGTCGAAGTCAATCGAATCCACTCCAGCCTCTTCCTTGAAACATCTTGAAACTGCCAAGAGCCAAATACGTTCTTCGGTATCAGTAGCAACAGCAGCGCTTCTGCAGATCATCCAAAAGGGAGCATCGATTGGTGGCGAGCTGGACGCCAGTCTCGATGCTTTGGTCACTCGTCACGGTTCCTCCAAGTCGTGAGTGGATAAACATGGTCATCTTCACCCAGTGCTAACATACCCGTGAATCTTTGCCTGTCATCTCTTTTGCGACTAAGAACCGTCTGTCTCTGGCCACTCGGGCCCTTCTCAGGGAAGTGCAAGCATATAAGCTGAGAGAGGCACCGGATGGGTTTCCGCAGTTGATGTTGCTCAAGGCATAAACTTGAAGATGCACACGGTTTAAAACAAGTCTCAGCCGCAGGGACGAGGTCCTGAGCAGCACCTCACCAGCGACAGGACTCACAGGACGGATTCAAATGCAAACTGACGTCATGTCAACTCGTGGGGTGCTGCTCAAACAGCAGCAAAATATAGAGCTCATGGGTGTGCTAAGGCAAAAGGGAATCAGCACTGTATGGGTAGTGATAACTTGGCATCTCTCCACATGGTTCGAGGAGCAAGTCAACGACCATGTAGAGGGCGCAAAGGCAATTTAGACAGTCACGCAGTCAGGCCTTTAATTTTTGTTTTCAGCAATTCCTCTCGAGTAGAGAGATGGGAAGGAAAAACAAGCCTGCAATAAGTGCAGCCAGAACATTGTCCACCGAGCTTTGCAAGCGTCCAGGTCTGGTTTTGCAAGCCCCCGCACTTCATGTCCAGCAAGCAAGGGGCTGCATGGAAAAACCTGAATCATTTGGTGGCACTTTACGAGTCCTATAGCCTGGGCAGTAGCTTGTTGGTGGTCGAGGAGGCTTCAAGCCTGGAAGACCACCAATCACACCTGCACACACACACACAAGCACCCAGGCACGCCATGTCATTCCAGATCAGCTGGCCATGTCGCCTCGATCTTCGGTTTTCCCGCAACCACTAGAAAAGCTTCTTCGTTGCCATGGCTGGAGCGTTGGCAATTCTCTGAGAGGGCATAGTTGCACAAAATTTGTTTCTCCGTGATCTAGCCTCTTGGGGATAAGCTTGGCTGTTATCCGCAGTCCCGGCTTGAGCTCCAGTTCAAGCGGCCATTTGTCCTTTTCATGTGGTTCATCTAAGTCTGGATCAAGCCTCAAGTAATAGCTTTGTTCTGGATTTGCCTCAAGTATGTAGACGGCAAAAAGTCAGGTTTGCTCAAAAAATTCTGTATCCCCCCTTTACATACCCTGAGCGGCTGACAAACTGGCGGAATGAGGTTTCCTGGGGCAAGAAAAGCAGGACCCCTGAAACATACACTGTGACCGAAATCCCTCTTAGCATATCTTAGCCAATAGACGCCCCTATTGTCCCACATTGTCCCCACTTCAACACACAACGCACATCGCGCATCACCGTGAATGGTGTGCCTCTGCTACGCTCTGCGGGTCCCAAGCCATCCGCGGAAGAGAACTCAAAGGCTCCTCAGCGAACTGGGGAACTGAGGGTTATGGTGAGGAGATTCCCCAAAACCATTTAAAAACCCATCATCATCATCTTAATCATGTCCTTGTGGTTTGCGACTTTGATGGGCGGCTGGTGAGGAGGGCCAGTGGTGCTGTCACGCAGCAAAGAGTCGAGTAAGTAATTATAGTATGTCACAGTCATTGGAAATCGTTGTCGTGGTCCTCGTCACTCAATAGTAAGTAGTAGCAGCCGCAGCCGCAGCAGCAGCAGCAGCGGCAGGAGCAAACAGGAGCAAACAGGAGCAACAGCAGGAGCAGTGGCAGTAGGAGTAGTAGCAATAGAAATAGCAATAGCAGTATCAGTAGCAGTAGCAGTAGTAGTACCTGCGCAGCTACAGGAGGAGTAGCAGTAGCAGTAGCAGTAGCAGCAGCAGCGGTAGTAGCAGGAGTGGTGGTAGCAGTGGTAGTGGTAGTCCTCGTAGCCGTCATCATCGTAGCAGTAGTAGCCGTAGTAGTAGGAGGTAGGAGGTAGTAGTACATCTGTGGACATACAGGGGGAGGGGTTCTTGGCAGTGAGTTTATAGATATTAAATGGTGGTGGTCACCCCTAAGTAGTATAAATTGAGCAGCCCTACCCCAGATAGGTGTCTATAGAATCATTCAACATCAGGTCCCTAGTGCCTGAGCAACGACCAGAAATCACATGTAAGCAAGGCACGGAACGCCTGCTATCTGAGGGTATCAAAGTTGCCTCTGAGGGTATCTCCTGAAAGCTATCAGCTATGTCAGATCCTCTTTCACAGATTGAAAAGAACTTTGGTGAACTCTTTAAATATCTGGCTTGAGCCATACAATGAAATCCTACGCAACGTGTAAGCTTCCTGCATGCAAGGAGCTTTCCATCTATAAAATCCAACCCCCAAGCCCCCCTGGGCAAGGGACCATGAAACGTTTTATGGGATACCATGACCATCCATGACCCCTGTGATTTATAGAGGATCTGTCCACCATTATGTAGTAGTAGTAGTAGTAGTAGTAGTGGTAGTAGTAGTAGTAGTAGAAGTAGAAGTAGTCAGCGGACGTCATTCAGAGGTCGTTCAGAGGTCGTTTTCTCGCCGAGAAATCTGGCTAAATACTGTCCATCGAAAGTGAGCAGCAGCAGCAGCAGCAGGAGAAGGAGCAGCACCACCACCACCACCAGCAGCAGCAGCAGCAGGAGCAGGAGCAGGAGCAGGAGGAGCGGGAGCAGCAGAAAGAGCAGGAGCAGCAGGAGCAACAGCACGAGCAGGAGGAGCAAGAGGAGCAAGAGCAGCAGCAGCAAATACATGATGTACGTAGTTAAGGAGGTCGTTCCAATGTCGTTTTGGATGCCGTCCGGAGGGTCGTTCCCCAACTGAATTCCACAAAGACAGAAAACATCAGAAATAGCTGCGGCGGTGCGTGGAATTCTGAACGAAGGATCCCACAATACTACTTTACATCAATCCACCTTTTTCCCGAATGCGTAGCGAAGGGTTCCCGTTTATAGTTGGGGGTCTGGGGGTTGGAGCTGTGTTCGCGTGGCTTGCGTCGTGTCGTCGTCTCTCGTCGTCTGTCATCGTCTCTGGTCGTTTGTCGTCGTCGTCGCGTCTCAAATTTGCTGCCATTGGGGGAAGCTTTTGCAAGGGACTTTGCATGGACGTGTCACGTGTCAGTTTGCGTCGCTATTCCATTGTGATTTGCATGACACCGACATGTCGCGCAAGGAACGTGATGCATTTCGCTGCACAGGCGCAGCGTTTTGTGAGATCCGCAGTTTGCTGCGCAGTGCCATTGGGATTAGCGTTTGGAGAGTCGTGTTTTTGGGGTGTT